CAAGAGAACGTAGAATGGAATAGAGCTTGTACTCCAAATTTTAGAGAAGTCCTACTTCCTATCTTTTCTTTCCTGTCCTCCTCTGCCGTTCTTACTTGAATGTGTGTTGGTAGTATATACACATTATTATGATTATGTCTGTATCATAAATCGAAAAAGAAAGGATGGACTCCAGAGTACTTTTTGCTGAGATTTTCAGTTTTGTTATGGGAGAAATAGGTGAATGGTTTAGCATTTAATCTATTGATATAAAATGGAGAAAGGAAAATCACTATATATTCTGTTTGCTTTTTCTTGCTTCAAAGCCAAATGAGGAATTTAGTGACAGACTTGAAAGAGGCTAATGCAGATTTAATTTAAAGCTTCTCTCTCTATTTTCTAATTCTCAGATTGGAATTTAGCTGTTACTTATCTGTATTATTTTGGGTTTTGTTTTGGTAAGGGGATTGTTTTACATTCAATTGGAAAGTAGAAAAAGGAAGTCTTTAAAAAACGTTGTGCTAAGGTGTCTTATCATGTCTGTTTTCCCCGCTAAGAAGTTAGAATTAGGAATACAGCTATTTGTATTCCTAGACTGTTTCCTGTGAGGTTCTAGGTGTTCTTCTTTGCAACCCACTTGATCTTCAGAGGTACTGGCATTTTGAAGAAACATGATATAGCTGTTTGGAAATAAATCTATCTTATGGTTTTTCTGTGAGCAGAAGATCTGAGTTCCAGAGAAACTCATGGGTGTTTGGGGTAGCCAAAGGACAAGAGAAAAATTATCTCAGAACTGAGAGAACTATATCTGGGTTATATATAGTCTTAGGCACATTCCATTGCCTTTGCTACCCAAAAGCCATGTTGTGTTTGTTTTCAAGAAATTTGATAAATTTACCCAGGTTTTCCAATATGCATTTTGACTTCTTTGTGTTCTAAAATATTTGAGTTTTAAAAATTATATAATGATTGACTCAGATTTAACAGGCTTGATCTCCGACTTCCTGTAGAGGTGACTCAGACGTCAGAAGGAATTTAATTTAGACTCATAGTGTTCAGAAGACTCTATCTAGTGGTATCTATATGCTGACTGACAGATTCTAAAAGGATTTGTATGCTGACTGACAGACTCTAGTAGGGTCTGTATGCTGAATGACCGACTACTGTACTAGGATCTGTCAGCTGACAGTCTGACTGTTTTCTGATTGTACCAGTTGGAAGTGTATGTACATCATTGTAATTCTCTGTCTGTTGTACGGGTCCTACATTGAAAGGAAGTAAACACTCCACGTGTTTTCTTTAAGAGATTAGTTTTGTACACTTATGAATTTTAATAGACATTTCTTTTAGAGTAGCAGCCAAAAATGCCATCATTTTGTAGAAAACAAAGGTTGCACATCACATGTATGATATTTTGTAAACACAGCCAACACTGTGTCAGCCAAGGAAATGCCTGCTCAGAGCCTGAAATGGCTGCTCTCCTTCAAGTCACGCCATCCATTCCCCCATTCCTAGGCAGGATTTCACTTTCACCATTCGTTTCTGAACCTCCTGTGTCCTCAGCTTCCCTGTTATAGAAGGTAGCACTCCACTGGAAATGCGTCTGTTTATAGTCTGCCATGCATTTGGCTTTTACTCATAATAAATAAAAATGCAAAGGCAATTTTGCATTCAAAAATTGATTTTAAGAGGTGGCAAATATTCTTTCCATTAATCAAAGATTGATTTTAAGAGGTAGCAAATATTCTTTCCATTAAGCCTTTCACTGAGGATCTGTGACCACTCTTTACCTACTCAATATTTTTGTGTCTGAATTGCTTGCGTATATTTTTTTATCGTGTTGAAGAAACAAGATCAACTCATTCTGGTATGGTGATGGTTTTGCTGCGGCAAAAACAAAGGACCGATCACCAACTGTGCCCTTTGGAGGGGTTGGAAGTGAGCTGAGCACTACTGGGTTGAAAGGGAATGGACTAAATTGGGAACCCAAACAACAGAGTTATCCTGCTGATTTCCGAGGCACAGCCCTGTTGAAAGAAGGAATATAATTCTTAGCAGCATTCCGATTTAATCTGGTGACACTGATATCAAAATCTGCCACTTAGATTCACATAAGGTGTGTATAACTGTATATGAAACATGTTGTGTGTGTGTGTAGAATGGGTAAATAAAATTGTCGAGTAACTTGAACCTATGAGAAGGCTTCTGGGTTTTTTGTTTTGTATTTTGGGCTTGTGTTCTCCACCCATTCCACCACCCACAAAACTTTGCCTCTGAGCCTCAGACAAGCCAAAGCCAGCCCTTTCACAGTGTGACTGGATTTCTTAACTTCGGTGTGGCTCTCTTTCACCACCTTCTGGGGAAGCTGGGAAGGACATTATGGAAAGCACGTGAACTTCACTGGGAGTTGTGTGTACTTTTTGGCACCTCTACAAGAATTAAGAAAAAAATTACCTTTGACCACCCTGTGCTATGACTCCTATTAACAATACATAACTCATTTATTGTAAAGAAGAACTTTGGAGATCTCTTACAATTTAGTGAGCTGTTCCTTCTGAAATATGACCTGCCTGTTTCTAAAGAGGTAGCCAGTGGGATAAAATGGTGTTTGACGTCGTCTGGGACAGGAAATTCAGGTGGAACTGTGTCGCCATTCTCATGCATTATTCCTCTTTACCCGAATAAGGGCCCTGAGCTTATTAGATATGCAGACTCTCGGGCCCCATCCCAGGCCTACTGAATCAGAATCCTTTTTTTTTTTTAACAGGAATGATTACCAAATGATTCAAATGCACACTTAACATATTAGAAGTACTGTTTTAGGAGTAAGAATTTTTCACAAGCTAAAATGTTAAATCCCAGTTTGTGGGAAGAAGTTGATTTCTGCTCTGATGACCGATTTCAGAGTGGACTGGAGTAACTGCAATAGTAGAGTCCCTCAGAAGCCAAGGAGCCCCTGACTGCACTGTCATCTTCTTGGTGGCTTTTTTGGCTGATGGAGCCTACATACCCTCCTTTTACCACAGGGCTCCCTACAGCTTCTGCCTCATATCTTGGGTATGTAGCTTACGGTTCAGGTCCGACAGGAA